TCTGTTTATCTGTGTATCTTCATGGAGATATGTTTGTTTGTCTTCCTTCCCTATGATACTTGTGTTTATAGTTCTTGAGATAAATCTGTTCTTTTTACCCTAGAACCAGTGTGTATCCCCTTGAGGTTGTCTGTGTTTCTCCCTATCCCCTGGGATCAGTATGTATGTCCCCTGGAGATTTACAAAAAATTGTTACTGCTATACCACGAGAAACAAAGTGTTTACAAATTGTTTACACTCTCTTGTGCTTTTCGAGGCAAATTATCAACCCATAAACTATTGCAGTTTTGGTCACCCTGAAGACAAACATGTACTGTTCAGAAAAAGGGCAGGTCTTTGACTTTTGATGTCTGATTATTTAGTTTATCCCCCTTTCTTTGGACCTGTGTGTATCCCTCTGGAGATCCCTAAGTTTATCTTCCCTTCCACTGGAAACAGTGTGTGTTTCCCCCTGGAGATTGTTCAGTTTATCCCCCTTGGACCTTTATGTATCCCCCTGGTGATCCCTCTGTATATTTTCCCCCTTCCCTTGGAGAACGACAGGGTGGGTTTGTAATAGATAGTACTCCACTAGCTACAATTACTGTCAGAATTGTCTGAAGGATAATATAATGGCAATTCTGCCATGATTTTATCATTAGATAAGTTGATAACATCTGTCCTGAGTTTATCAGCTATAAAATAGCTTTAAACCTGGCCCTAGCTTATTGAATGGGGGAGGGGGAGGCTTACATAAGCCACACCACTGTCAGTAGGAGGGGTAACCATCACTTAAACTCTGCCTTTTTCTTACCAATTGCACAATTATATCTGGAGTGTTTACTATTTGCCATGTAAAAAGTAAATGCATCTTGTCACAGATGTCAACCCTAATTCAATTAGGAGGCATAGAATGGGGGAGCTTGTTGATGTTAACAGGACTTTATCAGACAGCCAGAGTTACCTCTCCACCCTTATATCTCTGGTGTTAGCTTCACAATTTAACACAATATAGCTTCAAATTCTTATTCACATAATATGCTGAATAGGACATTTCTACCATCTATATTTACTACATTTCAGGTGTTTCCTGTATTAGGTAGAAGTTTATTTTATAATTTTTAATGATGTTAAACTATATGTAAAAACATCTTTCTCGTTCTTTGTTAAGACATAAAGGTTGTTAGTTTTAAGGGGCTGTATTTTTGTATTTTACATCGATGGGATAAAACTGCAAAAAAATTAAAAATTTAAATGTGAATGAAATCATTGTAATTCTTCTAATGACATTCCTTGAAAAATACATCCATTTTGTTTAAATCTTTTGGTAAAAACAACCTTTAAAATATCAAACATATTACCTGGTAAGTTTTGCTTACCTTACTTAAGAAAGATGAAGTTGTCTAATACATGAACTTGTCAATTATTTCTCCAAGCAACCAATTAGAAAGAGGACAGCTTAACTCTTTAGAAATGGAGAATCATGTCAAAGAAATGCACCATACACCCTTAATTACACTATGTTGTGTCTAAATATTTCTCCAAACAACTGATGAGAAAGAGGACGACTAAACTCTTTAGAATTGGAGATTCATGTCAGAGAAAGGTACCATACACCCTTAATTAAACTATGTTGTGTCTAAATATTTCTCCAAACAACCGATGAGAAAGAGGACAGCTAAACTCCTTAGAATTGGAGATTCATGTCAGAGAAAGGTACCATACACCCTTAATTAAACTAGTGTTAAAAAGAACTTTCAATGATTCCGTGAAATTTTGCACTGTTTGGACTACACTGAGCTAGAGTGCACAGAACAACAAGTAACAATTCTTTAACTCTTGTTAAATTCAAACAGAAGCCTCGTAAATCTTCTAAGGGTCTGGTAAATGTTTTAGAATCCTGTTGGATAAGAAGTACAACACCATGTGGAAACTGCACCTGTGATTGATCCATTTATTTACTGTTTGCTCACAGTTTAGCTTTTCTCGCTCCTCATCTTTCAAATCTTTAATGGGTATTTATGTACTATTTAAGGGTAAATTTTGGCTCATCTGCTGACAGACCTTCAGGCTGTAATAAACAAAACAACTTTTGAATAAGTAAGAAGATAGAATAAGAAAATAGATAATTAGTCTATAAATAAACAGATAAATAGATTAATGATAAAACCTGTTAAATTCTCTGTATACATTTACTTACCATTAAGTATTGTTTTTGCCCCGAAATGATAATACGTAGGTCAAGATTTGATGTGGTTAGAGTTCTTGATAAATATTTTCACAGTAATGGCCATTTAAACTTCAAAAAAATTTAATTTTAATTTTGACAAAAACAGTAAGACCAATATTGAAGAGCCTTGCCTACTCCAATGGAAATGAAAAAAAGGAAAGTTGCATTCTTTACAGTCGATCCAGTATGCAGAAAAGTTTTATTTCATGAATCATGAATACACTTCTTAACAAGGCCAATAACAGTAAAAACTTTCCAACTTCTCCTTGGTTGCTGGTGGGGGCATTCATGTCACTCCAAAATATCTAGGTTTTATCAAATATTCAGTCATTATTTTGTCTAATCTTTTAACAGCCCCAACAGATTGTTCCCGAAGCCTAATCTAATGTACCTAATTTTCATCCAGGTCACTGAGTCAAATATCAAGGTGAACTTCTCTGTTTCTTGATTGGGGAATATTTTAAAATAATTATTTTAAGAAAAATTGACTGTAATCAAACTTACACATAATACATAAGTAGCTAGTTTTCATTAGCCCAAATTGCCCTAGATATCTTTGGTACATGATGAATGTTTCATCTGGTATGGTCTGTCCATACATAAACAATTCTTGTTATTGTTATTTCTTGAGAAGTACCATAGTACTAATAGGATCTTTCTCAAATATTCATGTGTAGGTTTCTCTCGGTCCCTTCTTCAGAAAAATGAAATGGCTAACAGGTGGACATCCTAGATGTTGGCTATGAAATTTATCTCATGAACCACAGGAGAGATTTTTCTTTATTTTCATTTGTACATTCCCATTGGTCCCTAATTGTCCCCTTCTGATTCTGAGACTTTTCAGCAAAATAAAATTGCCAACAGGTGACCTGTTTGATTCTGCAGTTATGTTATTATGTTTATTTCTGAATGTGCATTGTAAGAAGTTTTATCTTGAGATAAAAATGAGATGTTTCGGCGTGATCTTCAGGTCAGAGTAAAAGTATTCCGCTTAAAATTTAGAGATCAAAATAAAATGATCATTATAATGTTTGTGTGAAGCAGCTAGGCTATAGATGACTCTAGGGTTGTACTGAGTGCATATGTATAATAAGATTACAGACAAATGTATATTGATATGGTGATTAAAATGTACATATAACACCCAAACATTTTACATTTTATGGGTAAAAATTTAGCTCTGACCCCTCACACGAGGAATGTAAATCTGTCACAGCTGTGTACTAACAAAGGACCAACCGATAAATGATTAATGACGCCTTCATGACTCCCTTGCATGTGTTGATCAGTTTCGATCTTGAAGTGACAATAAATCAAAATGGCACTTGTTCGGAGTTTCGTACCAGGTGACATAAGAAGACATGCATTGTGCACCAGGAATTATTGTAAATGGAACGAGGACAAGCTGTAGACAAGAACTCATGTTATCGTGAATCTCCTGTTACCTGATCATGTTATCATGATATATAGCAGACTATACAATTTCATATATATATTTCTAAAATCTATACAGTGTATATAACTGAAAAATGATGAACCTCAAATGTAAAGAAAAATAACCAGACAATAAATTGATTTGTAAACAAAGCTTTTTTTTATTAAATTTGAAAAAAGACATGAACATTCTGGTTAACACATTAGTTAGAGAGTGATTAAAAAAATGAAGCTAAAATTTGTTTTAGAAAGTTCAAATGGTAAAGTCCATTTTTTTTTTTTACAAATGCATATTTAAACTAACAATACTGTCAGATAACTAATTGGGCAATAATCTGCATATGATTATAAACAATTATAACAGTCTAGATCATGAAATAAAGATAACACAATTATAATGTATTCTGCGGTATTATTCCGCTTAAATGCATAAAGACTGAGATAATTTCACTAGGACACTTAAACGTTTAACCACAATAAATTCTTGGTGTAATTTGTTCCCCCATCAAATGTGATGGCCCTGTCTAAATGTATTGATACCGGATTGTTACCTGGAGGGAACTGTCGATTAGGACATATGGGGGGTATGAGGTATTGTCGCTCGCTTTGACATGGCCTAATGATGATTTCAATGGACAAAAGTGTTGTTGTTAATAGGACGAGTAGTTCCGTTACATCAAATGGCTAGCTTTGGCTGGGACTGTGAGGTGGGGGTAGGAACCATTCGGTTCCTATCGCACCACCCGGCACTGCCAGCTACCATAGGTACTGCTGGTGTAACAGCCTCTGTATAGAATTACCTCCCGTTTACACAATCAATTATATCTTGATGGCAAGGAGAAGTGTTGACAATTTGTGTCACCCTTACTCCTCTTGCTGAATACATTAAAATGATCAGTTGACATGAAGTAGAAGTCAAATAGGCAACCTTGACTAGCGGTGCAATAGACTCAGGTTTTCGATAATTTCAGAATCAGGATTTATGAAAATAACAGCTGTATATAGCCTACAAATTTCAAACAACAACCTCAGGGAGAACTCGACCGCAAGCCCCGACCCAACCTCATTGAGAACTGGACCTATAGGCCTCGGAGTCAACCTCATTGAGAACTGGACCTATAGGCCCCGGAGTCAACCTCAGGGACAGCTGGACCATAAGGGTCTATAGTCAACTTCAGGGAGAACTCGACCACAAGCCCCGACACAACCTCATTGAGAACTGGACCTATAGGCCCCGGAGTCAACCTCATTGAGAACTGGACCTATAGGCCTGGGAGTCAACCTCATTGAGAACTGGACCTATAGGCCCCGGAGTCAACCTCAGGGACAGCTGGACCATTAGGGTCTATAGTCAACCTCAGGCAAACTCATTGAGAACTGGACCTATAGGCCCCTGAGTCGACCTCAGAGAAATCAGACCATTAGGGTCTATAGTCAACCTCAGGGAGAACTCGACCACAAGCCCTGACACAACCTCATTGAGAACTGGACCTATAGGCCCCTGAGTCGACCTCAGAGAAATCAGACCATTAGGGTCTATAGTCAACCTCAGGGAGAACTCGACCACAAGCCCTGACACAACCTCATTGAGAACTGGACCTAAATGCCCCGGAGTCGACCTCAGTGGGAACTGGACCTATAGGCCCCGGAGTCAACCTCATTGAGAACTGGACCTATAGGCCCCGGAGTCGGCCTCATTGAGAACTGGACCTATAGGCCCCGGAGTCAACCTCATTGAGAACTGAACCTATAGGCCTCGGAGTCGACCTCAGAGAAATCAGACCATTAGGCCATTAGACATTCCAGTACTTGGCCACTAGGCACTTCAAGTCATCAGGGAGAACTGGGCTAGACTCTAATCAGCTCATGGAGTCTTGGATCACTAAATACTTAAGTCAGCTTTTGGGAGTATGGGGCCACTAAAGACACTAGTCAACCTCATTAACGGGACCACAAAATAATACTCAACCTAAGGGAGTCCCAGACAACTAGAATCTAGCTATATAGTCAACCTTAGGGATTACCAGACCATTAGACCCAAGTCAACCTCAGGGAGCACTGTATTTCTAGACTCCACTTGGCTCTAGTCAACCTTAGGGGTTAGAACTGGACCATTAGGTTCTATAGTCAACCACAGGGAGAACTGGACCATTAGACCCAAGTCAACCTCAGGGAGCACTGTATTTCTAGACTCCACTTGGCTCTAGTCAACCTTAGGGGTTAGAACTGGACCGTTAGGTTCTATAGTCAACCACAGGGAGAACTGGACCATTAGGCTCTAGACAACCTCAGGGAGAACAGGACCATTAGACCCAAGTCAACCTCAGGGAGAACTGGACCATTAGGCTCTAGTCAACCTCAGGGAGAACTGGACTATTAGGCTCTATAGTCAACCTCAGGGAGAACTGGACTATTAGGCTCTATAGTCAACCTCAGAGAGAACCGGACTATTAGACCCAAGTTAACCCTCAGGGAGATCTGGACCATTAGACCCAAGTCAACCTCCGTGAGAACTGGACCATTAGACCCAAGTCAACCCTCAGGGAGAACTGGACTATTAGACCCAAGTCAACTTCAGGGAGAACTGGACCATTAGGCTCTATAGTCAACCTCAGGGAGAACTGGACTATTAGACCCAAGTCAACCTCAGGGAGAACTGGACCATTAGGCTCTATGTCAACCTCAGGGAGAACTGGACCATTAGACCTAAGTCAACCTCAGGGAGAGCTGGACCATTAGGCTGTAGTCAACCTCAGGGAGGACTGGACCATTAGGATCTGTTCAACCTCATGGAGAACAGGACATTAGGCTCTATGGTCAACCTCAGGGAGAGCTGGACCATTAGGCTCTATAGTCAACCTCAGGGCGAACCGAACCATTAGGCTCTAGTCAACCTCAGGGAGGACTGGACCATTAGGATCTATAGTCAACCTCAGGGAGAGCTGGACCATTAGGCTCTATAGTCAACCTCAGGGAGAGCTGGACCATTAGACCCAAGTCAACCTCCAGGATAACTGGACCATTAGACCCAAGTCAACCTCAGGGAGAACTGGACCATTAGGCTCTATGTCAACCTCCAGGATAACTGGACCATTAGGATCTATAGGCAACCTCATGGAGAACTGGACCATTAGGCTTTATTCAACCTTAGGGAGAACTGAACCATAAGGATCTGTTCAACCTCATGGAGAACCGGACCATTAGCGCTCTATTCAACCTCAGGGAGAACTGAACCATTAGGGTCTATTCAACCTCCAGGAGAACTGGACCATTAGACCCAAGTCAACCCTCAGGGAGAACTGGACCATTAGGATCTATAGGCAACCTCATGGAGAACTGGACCATTAGGCTTTATTCAACCTTAGGGAGAACTGAACCATAAGGATCTGTTCAACCTCATGGAGAACCGGACCATTAGCGCTCTATTCAACCTCAGGGAGAACTGAACCATTAGGGTCTATTCAACCTCAGGGAGAACTGGACCATTAGACCCAAGTCAACCCTTAGGGAGAACCGGACCATTAGGCTCTATAGTCAACCTCAGGGAGAACCGAACCATTAGGCTCTAGTCAACCTCAGGGAGAACCGGACCATTAGACTCTAGTCAACCTCATGGAGAACTGGACTATTAGACCAAAGTCAACCTCATGGAGAACTGGACTATTAGGATCTATAGTCAACCTCATGGAGAACTCGACCATGAGGCTCTATAGTCAACCTCATGGAGAACTGGACTATTAGGATCTATAGTCAACCTCATGGAGAACTCGACCATTAGACCCAAGTCAACCTCAGGGAGAGCTGGACCATTAGACCCAAGTCAACCTCAGGGAGAGCTGGACCATTAGACCCAAGTCAACCTCAGGGAGAACTGGACCATTAGACCCAAGTCAACCTCAGGGAGAGCTGGACCATTAGACCCAAGTCAACCTCACGGAGAACTGGACCATTAGACCCAAGTCAACCTCAGGGAGAACTGGACCATTAGACCCAAGTCAACCTCAGGGAGAACTGAACCATTAGGCTACTTGGCTCTAGTCAACCTCAGGGAAAACTGAACTACTAGGCCCTTGTTAACCTGGATCAGTAGCTAATTGTAGCTATGATTTAGGTATCTGAATTGATTGGAAAAAGACATCAATACATCAATCTGGAATTTTTTATTATTTAGAATATGCATTCTACACCTTTCTTCAACAATCAAAAGGAAGATAAGAAAAGTTCTCAAAATGTCATTTTTGAACACTACCTTTTGAATATCGGCAAATGTTTCATTGTATTTTTGTTCTGGCATGATGTACAGTATATATTAGTCCACATATATCTGACAATAATATATATAGGTTGGATGGCTTTCTGTCCCCCAATTAGCCATGTCATGTTGTGACAAATTGTGTTCTTGATTTATTAAAAAATTCTCAGCTTGATACTTACACTTGCGAGGCAATATAGAAAAAATACCAAATGTCAGTTTTCATTTTGTAACGTCAATATCATGAAATTTGATTTACATATTATATTGTTGACATATGATAGCGAGCATATGTCAGATATACTTATCCAGTATCATTATTGTACAACACTTGTAAGCTGACAATGTCTTTAAGATCTGGGTCGTCGGTGATGATTAATATAGGACAGTGTACAGTAAATAAAAGTTAGGTGGACAGGTGTATAATGCAAAGATGGCGTTGCCTTCTCCAACCATGTATAACCTTCATACTAATTTCAATCTTAGGGGCTATTGCGTTCACCTGACACAGGGGTCAGTCGTCAGTAATTATGACAACTCGTCTGTGCTTGTTGTTGTCTAAGTATAGCGACAGCGACACTGTGCCAGGTGTAAAATACTGAAGTAACTGACAAATCTTACGTGATTAATTAACAAGAAGACGTTTGTTTTACTGTCTGTTCCGGTTCATGATGGACAGTGACACGAGAGACTTTCTGTGCAGTATATGTCTGAGGAATTCAGGGTCTAGAAGTCGGTGACAGAGGACCAATGGGAGGGGCATTTCTGACTCATTATATTGACATCTAGTTATTCAGGCACTTAATGTTAGGGATATTTTCTTGCCCTGTTTGTGAGGGAGCAAAGTTAGAAAGGGTCAGTTGTTGAATTCATATTTTCATAATACCGATAGCTCTGATACAGTCATATTATGCATTGTACTACAAAAATTAAGGATGATGGTGATTGTTTTGGAAAATTTATTTATTAAGCAAGTCTATTTTCTACTCTTACTGCCTTTCATCAAACGAGTATAATGAAAATACGTAAAATCTAAATTCATGTTGACTTATTGCTGAAGACCAAAATGTCTTTTTCACTCCTAGAGAGTTCCATTTCTCTCTAGGTTGACCTATTGATTGTCTTATTGTCTTTGATCTAAATATTGCATGTCCATGAATTGACTTCAAACTTTAAATATAAATTCTATGGATCATTCATTTCTTAAATTTTTGAAAAATTTGATATTCTTAATTAAAAAAATGTATGCTATAAAATCATTTACTTTCATGGGGCTTAATTTTCATGGTTTTTCCAAAAAATCACTATTTCATTGACACTCGATTTCATGGATAGATAAAGCTCAATTAGTTTACTTGACATATGAATTCATGAATTAAGTACCCCCAAAATCAACGAAAATAACTCCTGAAAAAAATGAATGATTTTTAGAACAATGTATACGTTGTATATTTAATCTTGGTCATCATATGACATAAGACACATGTGTTTTCTGTTCCTGTTATCAGAGGATATTCTAGTGGAAGCAGATCTGTGAATACATATTTGAATTTATCTTGGACTATTGCACTTTTTCACCAGCCGTTAGGTGCAGATATTTACAGATGATATAATGATTTTTGAAAATGCAAAGAATGACAGTAATTTACTGCCGAATGCCTTCAACATTGTCAGCGTTCCCATCCCGCTGATTATGGACCAAGAGTTCTCTGTGATTAACCTGCCTCTGGTAACCGTGGCGTTACCAATGAATTTCCCTTGTAGATTCTGTTGCATGTGTTACACAAATCTCACCGTTTGTTTCCCAGGCTTTTATCCTTCAATGCGTTTTAAGACCTTGCAGGTTTTATAACCAATTATCGCATTCACTGGGTAAAACCCTAACATGTTTCTAAAGCATGGATAGTTGAAATTCTATCATACATGCTTATTTGTTTTCTCCTCTTGTTTCAATTACTTGGTCTTTAAAATTGGACTTCTATGAGTTCCAAGATGGTATTGAATTTGACAAGTAGGAAACTTTAAAATGAGGAAATGTTTAAATACTTACTTTAGTTTAAGTTTGGTGTTAAAATGTTCTGACTAATGTTGGAGTGATTTGTTATTTCACTGTGTATAGAAGACACCTCTCTTGGACAGTCTTTTCTGTCATATAATTTGTGGAGGAATCCATTTCTGCTGACTTTTCTTCACAATATGTATTGTTCAGGAGATTGTTCAGTGTATCATTAACCTTATTCTCTCCAAGGTCTGGGTGGCCCACACCACTGAACCTCTCTACTATGCTGTGCCACTATACATTTTGTCTCACCTCTGATGAGTTACAATTTAGTAATGAAAGTGGTCAGGTGATATTAAATGGAACAAGGTATACCCACACAATT